TGGGTCTGTTTGTCACTGATTTTGATACCACTATCTAATCATTGATTCATTGATGCGTTTATTTCCTCCAAAGTAAACATGTCTTAAATGACGTCCCAATGAGTGGGAGGGGAGGGAAAGGGATCTCTCACTTTGCAAGAAGTTTTTACAACTACTCTATTTATAAAGGTTGGCCAACCACTGACTCATGAGGGCTATGGCAGTAGTAGTGGTGATCAGTGATCACATAGAAACCCCTTTTGGTGTGGTTTGTGGGACAGTCACTACCATCACTAGACATACAGACCTAACTTATGGCACAAAAAGGTCATTGAAATAAGTTTTTGACAAAAAAGTTTTCAAAAATAATCTGTTATTTGAGGTCATTTTGTCAATCATTCACATTATTAGTATTGCTTTGAATCCAATCGATATAATACGAGACTTTAGTGTAGACTCCGGGATATTCTGTGATTGCAATGAATTATCAATAAATAAAAGTTGTGTCAAATATAGCACAGAATATATTACTGGGTTCGGCGCATCCCTTTCCCCATGAGGTGATGCCAATCTGCACATACCGGCCCTCTCTGCCATCCAACTGCATAGTCATTGGACCTCCAGAATCGCCCTTTAATTACATGGATTGAGAATACAGTAATTACAGGGGAATGGGGTATATTAAAGGGGTCATACCTGACAGGAGTCTCTCTTTCCCGCCGCATATCCGGCACACATTTGTTTGGACGTAACCATCAGCGCGTTATAACTACGGGCGCAGTCCTTGTTGGTGATGATGGGCACCTGGACTTGTCTTAAAATATCACTGGTGCGTCCACCAGCAGACGTAGTTCCCCATCCGACCAGTTGTACCATTTGGTTGGTGTAGTCTCGCTGGTGCCAGTGCGAGTCGGGCAGACATACCGGTGCTATATTTGATGTCTTATTGAAGTTGATGGGTTCGGCCAGTTTGTAGAGAGCGATGTCGTTCTGCATGAGTCGCTCGTCGTATAACTTGTGGACGAAAATCCTTTGCACTCTATGGTAGACGCCTTCGTAGCGCCGGTCGTGCGCTCCGATCAATAGTCGGATGGTTTCCGGTTTGGCGACCCGACTATTGTGGGACACGCAGTGGGCCGCACCCAACACATACCTCTCGCTGATGACCGACGCCCCGCACACGAACTTGTAGTTATGGAAACTGGATCCCGAGCCCGTGTATACAGCCACAGCCCACGGCCACGAGTGGGCCGGCGCTTCATTGCCGCCCACAATGAAGCCGTAGTCCTTTTTTAAGTTTCGGGCGCCACATACTGATTGCACCGACATACAGGACATACAAATATATAGTTTTGTTTTAAGTTATTTTATATGTGTCTCATAACTGGATTCATTCTATAGTATTTGGACATTTATTAAAATCATTTAGCTATCATGGAATATTTTATAAAAATTAATGTTAGATTTTAATAGTCTGATAGAGTTAAATTCACAAAGTCAAGTTTATAAAGCATTTAAAAATTAAGAATCACATTACTTGTAACGAGTGACTATCGAATACCTGGATTAGTTTGCCCCACCGGTGTCCATACACTGGGAGTGGATGTACTGGTTGATTCAAACAATGGCGTAGAATCATTACTAACCGAGGTGTTTGTCAAATTACCAATATTATTCCAAAACAAGTTATTAATAGATTCCCAAAATGGATGCACTTTTTTAACACTAAATTCTGGACAACATATTGTGTTTGAATCGTCTGAACAGTTATTATCACTCAATTGGTTCCCATTCCAGTGATTGCAAAGTTCTTTAACTAAACAAATGCCGGGATTTCCATCACTTGTCACACATTTGCCTAATTTTGTACCATTGACTGAATTATCAGCAAATGATTGTTTGACTAATAAGCATACAATTAGTGAATAAATTACTAAATTAAGCTTGAACTTCATATTGGACATTAGTTTAGCATCCGAGAATCTAAACTAGCTAGATTTTTATGTAATACTGTTGACGAGTAGTTTCAATGCAAGAATCAGGTGTCAATAAACTTAATTTAATTGCTTTCATAATTATTTTGTAATAGCATTTTCAAGTGGTCGTTAATAGGTATATGCCATTTATTTGCTAATTTTTATTGCAAACACTTACATTTTATTCTCTGTTTAGTCTAACACTTCATTCAATAACTTAACAAAATTATTAGAATAAGTGTATTGTTTTATTAAACATAATAATCTTACATAAGTTAACACTTTGAATCTCTAAATTACATTAATGGTCAAATTATCTCGGTGGATTATTAACTCAATGTGATTCAGTTTTTTAACTTTATTGGACAGTGATTTCCATAAATAAATTGTCTCACAATTCAGTACAAATTTGGTCTGATAATTTTGTCCTATAATTTTTACATTAAATTTTATAATTTTACATTACAATGTACAATGTATATTGCATGAATTCTTGGAATAAATGCTTAAATTATTTGATTAAATGTTTTGAGATTACTTTACAGAATACTCTGTATCTCCTATACCCGTACTATTATTCACTAATACTATACAGTAAACAAATTGCATGTAATTTAAAACCTTTGCTTCACAGATATCTAGAAATTTGAAACCATTTAATAAGAATCATTAAATTAATCTCTAAGATATAACGTTAATTTATATTAGAATATTCTGTATAATATTTAAAATTAATAGCTTCAAAATTAAATTCTTACAGAATCATAACATAAATTTATGAATTATTAAAATCTGTGTCAAATGTAAAACCCCTATATTTCTAATGTTCTAATGTGTGTTGCAAAAATGATTATAACATTTTCATTAAATTCATAATAAAAATTTTAATAATGTTTGTGGTATGTGTAATCATTTCTAACTTGTGTACTACAATTGCAGAATATTCTATCATTGATAATAAGTTATTATCATTATCATTATTTATTATTAATAACAATAATAAAGCCTTCAATTTGTTTGTTGCTTTATTATATTTTCGGTGATTTGTTAGACAAACAGAAACTAGGTTAAATTAATAAATAAAATATCTACACCAACATTAATCTAATAACCAGTGTATATAATAATTAAAAATAGTTAGTAACACCGTATAAATATACCAGTACGTTATTAGAGTTATTCGATAGTGTGTTATAAATAATTAAAATTAATAAAAATTACCAGCATTATTTTTATAATATAAAAGATTTTGTTCTCCAAATCATTGATAATAATCAATATTAATTATATAGATTGTAATCATGATAATTGTATATCTACTAATATCAGGGTCAGTATTAAAGGCATTAAAGGCATAGTGTGGGTGCTGTCCGTGTGTAGAGCCTGACCCGCAATAGGTTGAGCGACACGTCTAATGAACGAGTGCTGTATGTGTACAGTGTGTCTGTCTGTGTGTTGATTGTGAGTAGTGTTGTGTCGGATATGCAGTGAATGTGTGACTCGTTTACTGTTAGTGACTGTCAATCAATACACTGACCACTCATTGCCGACCATTGGATTCAATTGAAGTGATGTTTGCTTTTAGTCATTGCATGCAGTGATCGCTGATCCTATCAATGCGCGCATCGATGGCTCACTTTTGCACCCTTCGTCATAATGTCTTGTAATGGTGTGACTGTGATGTGTTTGCGACCACTCATTGATTATCACTCTTAAGATAATTAGGACATCACTCGCGCGGACACACACACCATGTCTTTGCATCAGCGGTACAGCTCGTGTCCACACATGAGCCAAATGGCGGACTTCACGCTGGAGGCGATCGTCGGCCGCGATTGCTGTCAGATATGCGGCACTTCTGGACCTAATCTGTGGGTCTGTGTGACCGATGAGTGCCATCTGTTCACCGCATGCGGCGAAGGAGTGGCCGACCACTCGACCCAACACTACCGCCAGAACCCCAGCCATCGCCTGACACTCAACTCAACCACTTTCAGGATCTGGTGCTATGAGTGCCAAACGGAAGTGATGGTCGAGAACAACACCACCGCCGCCGCCATCGACGACCACAACAAGATGGACACCATTAGCAGCCACGACAGCACCGGCGGACACATCCGCACCAATCAGGTCTACGTCGCCGACATCACCGACGATGAGACCACCGATGAGGAGGAAGTGCTCATTGGTTTGTATACTAATGAATGCCAGTATCACCGCAATGTCTAACCATTTGTGTCTTTCGCAACAGATTCCGAGAGCAAACCTCGAGGTCTGACGGGACTCCAGAACTTAGGCAACAGTTGTTATATGAACGCTGCGCTACAGTCGCTGTCCAACTGTCCCCAATTGAGCCGTTTTATGCTCGACTGTCACTCCTATGTCCGCAAACCGGGAATCGCTAAGAGTTACTGCCGTCTAATCAAAGAGATTTGGGACAATCGACGGCCCAGTTATGTGGTGCCCACGGGTATAGCCCACGGAATCAAATCGGTGTTCCCGTTGTTTCGCGGTTATACCCAACAGGACGCCCAGGAGTTCTTGCGATGCTTTTTGGATCAGTTGCACGAAGAGCTCAAAGAGACTCATTTCAGTGACCAGTGCTCGGCTCACGGGAACCAGTTTTGCAATTATTTGTACGCCAATAGCAATAATAATAACATTAACATCAAGAGCAATGATATGGACACCAATGCCTCCATCAATATGAATGGCATGAATGATATGAACAGTGATTCCGAGACCAATTCGGACGCCGATTACGAAACGTGTGATTCGGGTCTGAGTTCGGAAAAGAGTGCTTTTGGTGGCGATGAGCCCGACATGAATGGTGTGATGAACGGAGACAATAGCGACCACATGACCACTAATATAGACGATATCGAGCTTAACAGCCGGTCCGCGTCGCCCACTATGGGCTCATCCATAACGTCGCCGACGTCTCAGTCGCCACTGAGAGGCGGATCGATGGCGTCGATGGCTTGCAGTCAAAGCAGTCAAACCCATAGTCAGTCACAGACGACACCGCGAAAGGCGAAGACATTTCGGAGTATTATTTCAGACATTTTCGACGGAAGAATCCTGAGTTCAGTTCAATGCCTTAAATGTGATAACATATCGACCACTCGCGAGACGTTTCAGGACCTGTCGCTCCCGATCCCCAGTAGGGAACAGCTGCTTATGTTAAGACAACAGCAGCAACAGCTCAATCACATCCACAACCAAACCGTGAACCAAACTCTTCAGTCACAGGCGGCGCAGACAATGTCGGCGTCGTTACTGGATTTGACGAAAGACAACGTGACAGGTATCTACAGCTGGCTCTGGGATTGGGTCGACTGGTTCATGGGGTGGGTGTTGGGCCCGACGGTCACCCTTCAGGACTGCTTGAGTGCGTTCTTCTCGGCCGATGAGCTCAGAGGGGATAACATGTATTCGTGCGAAAAGTGCAATAAACTCAGGAATGGAGTCAAGTATTCAAAGGTCTTAGAGTTGCCGGAGATCTTGAGTATACATCTCAAGCGGTTCCGACACGAACTCATGTACTCGTCGAAGATATCGACGCACGTGTCGTTCCCACTCGAAGGTGAGACTCATTGATGGCTTTCTTAAGATTGATGACTATCTTAATGCGGATGTGTTGACAGGACTGGACATGTCGTCATACATGGCTCGCAGTGGCAATCAGTCGACTGACGGCAATGCGTACGACTTGGTGGCCGTCATCTGTCACTTGGGAACGGCAGCCTCGGGTCACTACACGGCCTACGCTCTGAACCAAAGCAATCAAGTGTGGTATGAGTTCGACGACCAGTACGTGACGTCAGTGGACGCCCAACAGGTGGCCAACTGTGACGCCTATGTGTTATTCTACCGGAAGTCTAACGACGAGATGAATAAGCGTCGGGTGCGGGCGCTGGAGCTGATGAGGCTGTCGCGCAGCGAGCCATCGGTGGTCCACTTCTACGTGTCCAAGCAGTGGGTGAACCGGTTCAACACGTTCTCAGCACCGGGACCAATAACCAATTGTGATTTCCTGTGTCAACACAACGCCGTCGACCCGCAAAAGGCGCCTATAGTTCACGAGTTGTGTACCATATTCTCGCACTCCGTGTGGGAGTACTTTCAGATGACTTTTGGTGGCGGACCCGTCTGTACCCAGTTATACGTGTGTCAGATCTGCTGTACGACTGCCGCCGCCGACAAAGACACGACTGACCGCCGAAGACGTTCCAAACATAATAAATCCAATTCCAGTGAATGAATGCACTCCTTAACCACCGATTGATTCATCCATTCACTGATTCTTATGATTGTAATTGTATTTGAAATGAAATGGAAATAATTTAGTGATAAATTTGAAATGTTTTTAAAGTTTTCAATATATATTATATTTATCTCGAAAGATCCCAAATTTATTTTTCAATTGTTTGATACCTAGCCTTAAAGTCTAATTATTGTATTTGTATTGATGTATATTTAGCATTAAAACATGTGTTGAATTTTATGTCTGTGTTTACTATACCTGTTGACAAATATTTTAAATATTTATTATAAACTTTTTATACTTTTTTTTGTTGCTTTTTAAACAAATTCACTTAATTTTAAACACGATTTTAGTTCATAAGCGGATTAAATATAGGGACCAACGTATGAAAATAAACATTTTAAGCTTATTTAACATAATTGTCTTTTCATATTACTTTAATGCGAATTAAACGGAGCTGTAGATTAGTGGACAATGCATTTTTATAGGACCGGTATGTTTTTACAAGGGTTAATTGTCTACAAGGCAATTATTGGCATCCACTCATTTTGTCTGTAATTGTTATTTTAATAATTTTACTTTACTTTCTATATAACACTTTGTATTACATTTAATGTTACACCTTTAAAAATTACATCAGAGAGAGAGAGAGAGAGAGAGAGAGAGAGAGCGAGAGAGCGAGAGAGAGAGAGAGACTAATCTTTTCCAAAAATAGCAGAGAATGAGTTTGTGTTTTGAACCCAAATACTGAATGTTTAATACATGATAAATGTATAGAAATTAGAAAATCAGGTTTTGGTCCGAAGAGTACATTGTTTTCAATTTATCTAATATTTTGCATCCAGTAATACACTATAATAACAAGTATTTAATTGTTTGAAAGCCTTTTGCATTTCTAATTAAGCAGACATTGAACTCTTTGGCTAAATTTTATTTTAAGATCTTTTTGTGCGTTTAATATATAGTATAAATAAACAGTAATAAGATTGCAATGTTATACATAGATTAGGGGATAAGGAGTACAACAATATGTTTTTTACATGTAATTATTTGAATCTTATGTATTATTTCTGGCGTTTTTAGGTCATCCCCGCAATATTTTTGCTCATTTTAACCATATTCTAGTTTTTACTGCTTTTTATGCCCAGTATTTCAAATGTGAAAAAATATTATTATTATTATTTCCATTTCATTTCTATAGATAAGTTTTCATTCAATACAATATATAAATAAATTTCAATTATATTTGTAAAAAGTAGTTGAAATTGGAAAGTAATTTTGGCAAAAAATTGCTAAATATTGTTAAATATTCACACAAAAAGCAAAAAAGTTTATAAAAAGATTTGAGTATAAATACTGATAAAATTGTTTTTTGCAGATAAATATTTACTTTGTATTACCAGGATATATTATTTTTACGGAATTTGTGTTGAACTGGTGATCAATAACTATTTACAGCTATTTTTTGTGCTTTTAATATGAAATAATAAAATTTTTTTCTTTAAATACAGAGTATTATTCATATTATTCATAATATGATGCTAATTAACGTTATAATTAAATTTATAAATGATTTCTATTAAAATAAGTTGTTGATTTTCATTTACTGTAATTGCATATTCTTAACCGACAGTTGAGTTTAATTTTATGCCCTGTTTATTCTAATACCTGTATTTCAATATTTAGTTTACTTATAAGTTAGAAATTATAATAAAAACTGTACATTTAATTTAAAAATTTTTGGCAGTTTTACTAATAACTAATACTAATATTAATATTTTTACTAATTTTAGAAAAATTATGAATTTAATCAAAATATGATTGGAAAAATTATTATTTCTTAATTATAAAAAATTATAATAAAATTTAGTATTTCTATTTACACTAATAAAAACCAAATATTTTGGAATAATTAAGAGAATAATTAAGAAAATTTATTGAAAATAAAAACCATGTATTTATAAGTAATAAGTTTATGGTAATTATTAAACTACTAAATAAAAATCTGGAATTAATAAATATTGCCCAGACATTATTATTAACATAAGTGCATGTATTGCCAATACATGTATTGGATATTAATCTTGTTGATTATTAAAATATAAAAATTTTAATTTTATATTTATAGTGTTTTTATACTCTATTTACTAAAATTAATTATATATTTTTAAGTTTGAGAATTTATCTTAATACTATTAAAACAAATATAGAAATATAATACAAAATCTTTTAATACAGCAAATATCATATTGAATAAATTAAATACTGTATGGTTTATAAAACAATTGATGTTGCTTACAATTTTAAACTAATCACAATAATTAGAGTGTACAGCACAATAATTTACATAATTGTGATTAATATTGAAGCTATAATTATTAAATAGGTCTTTCAACACAGTAAACATTAAAAAAATTCAATTTTGATCTCAATTTATTGATTAAAACCCATTTCCATGTCAAATAATGATAATACTTTTTTATATAAAAAAATATTATTAAAAAATGTTCAAAACTTGTCCTAAAAATAGGAATAAAGAGTAAAAATGAAGTATTGAGTGGAGAAGTGATAGAAGTTCTCAAAGTCTTAGAAGATGTTCAATAAGAGAGTGGAGTATCGCCTCCAGACATCTCCTGATGGGTATTAGGCTAACGACATGAATGACTACAAAAATATCAATTCATATAATCAACGGCGATATTAAGTGGTGACCCAATTGTGGACTCTTTTATTTACAGTTATGTATTTTTTTTGTTATTATTTTTTAGAGTCAGGAATATATATATTTGAATACAAAATACACACTAAAAGATGCTGTAAATCAAGTGATGTTAACTTTCCTCCGATTTTCTAAGCGGTTAGTGGTGTTGGCCCTCATTTAGACCACTTTTGGGACGCCTTTCGATTGCAATTCGTTGAGCACTTGCACTACCTTTCCATTGACTACCTTTCCATTGACTTCTCACACCGAAAAACAAGTATTTAAATTCTAGCCCTCACTGTGTGTTTGAATTTAGATTTAAATGACCGGCAAATGCAGTGCACGTATCGCTTGTAGTGCATGAATGTGTTCATTGAGAGTGTATTAACCGATTGAACGCCAATCGACTCATTAGTTTCTCAATAGTCATCTCTCAATGTTTTATAAATTGTGAAGTTTTTTATAAATTTGTTTAATAAATAGTTTGCAGTAATTATGAGAAAAGTAAGTATCGTTTGATGAGATGTAGTCATAATAACAATAATATTTGTGATATTCTGTCGACTAATGGGATACTGTGTTTGCGTTAGACATTGATTGTAGTGTCGGTGGTGTCGTGTTTGGCACTTCCCTTGTATGCCAGCGGCGGCGGGGGTTCGGGAGGTGGTGGTTATGGAGGCTCTGGTGGTGGTGGAGCCGGAGGGTATGGCGGCAGTAGTGGTGGCGGCGGTGGTTATGGCGGGTCCGGAGGCGGCGGAGGAGGTTATGGTGGCGGTGGAGGGGGAAGCGGCGGATATGGCGGTGGAGGTGGCGGTGGAAAGCGTTCGTCATATAAAGTGTTATATCTTCCCGTAATACCCGTTAAATCCTCCAAAGGAGGCGGTGGTGGTGGCGGTTATGGCGGAGGAGGAGGTGGAAGTGGAAGTGGAAGTGGAGGTTACGGTGGCGGAGGTAGTGGTGGTGGAGGTTATGGAGGCGGCGGAAGCAGTGGTGGGGGTTATGGCGGTGGCGGAGGAGGCGGTGGTTATGGCGGAGGTTTGTATTTATTACACTTTTTATCTTATAAATTATTTCATTATAAGGATATTCCCAGAAAAAATCAATATTCAGAACCCAAAACTTGCCAAAAAAATTGTCCTAGTTGCACAAGTGATCTAAACTAATTTATCTCTCTATCTACTATGTCTACAAACTTTTTTCTTAACTTATCACTTGGTATTTAATTGAGAAATTAGACATCTTATAATTTAGACAGTATATATTATTTTCTATCATACAGTCAATGCTTGTGTAATATTTTAGTCTTTAGGGACAATTAGGTAATGTTTATATTCAATAGTATTGCGAAAATATTTAAATCTTTCACTTGTTTTACTATTTGTATGCAAACCATATAAACACTACTTTATTCGTTCCTATATTCAAATGCTTTCCCTCTAATTGTAAAATTACATCCGTTTTGTCTGATCCCTCAACTGATTGCTTGTTTATATTCCTCACTATTGGTGTTAAAGGGGGCGACGACTCGCCGGTTATCCCCGTAATTATCATTCAAAAGAGTGATGACGGATATGGCGGTGGAGGCGGCG